ACCCTCAGTCTGTTTAGGATTGCCAGCTTGCAGCCCGAAGAACCTTCCTTTAGTTTAATGTCCTGCCCCCACCCCAAAGGATGGTGGTTACAGTTTCTTCTACCCACCCCATCATTCAATCCACTTACACATCCTCCCTGTGTTAGGAAAACAGGAGATTACAGAGGAACAACTTTATCTGTCAACAAAGAGCCAGGTCCCTTTTAATTATGCTTGGATTTAATGCCCCCCCAACACTTAGTTCTTTTGGATCACTTTTTCGGGTCTAACAAATTTAAATAATAATAATATTTTAGTATGTCTTTAGATGCTTTCTTAATGAAGTTATTCAGCTTTTACAAGGCTAGCTCAACAGAGACATTGCTTAGCTTGTATTTCATGACTAGTGACTGTTGGAAGATGGGGATTAAGAACTATTTTCCCCGGGGTGGTTCCTTGAAGGACACTGGCTCACCCATATGGGCATCCAAGATGCAGAGCTCCATGGCCAATAATGTATGTACAGTGCCTGGAATCACAGATAGACTGTTCTACTGAAATAAGAGGAAACCAGAGCTTATAATTTCTGTCCCTCCAATACATAGGAGAGATGAGAGAGAATTAATGAGTCATAAAGCAGCTGCTCATTCTTGGCTGACCACCTATAAGAGGAAGACAAAACCTTAGGCTTCTCCCCCCCCCCAAAAAAAGAAGTTGTATCAAGACATGGCACCCTGTAGCCTAACAGCATGTTAGAAAGTCAGAACTTCCAGAGGCAACATTGCCGTAATAAAATTAGACCATAGTACAGAGCATCCCCTCTGGTGAGTACAAAGCACTAAAAAGATAACTTCCTCTCTTTTATGGCTGCGGGGATGCAGCAGCCTGCAGAGTCTGGCAGATGTAAAATGGGGACAGGCTTGCAGCATGTGGATGGAGCCTGCCTAACGGTTGCCCTTTGGCCCAGTCTGGTTTGTAGGAGGGCAAAGAGAATTTGCAGTGCTAAGAAGAGTTTTGTGTCCTTAATACTGTACAGGGCTCCTGCTGCACACCAGCTTGAACTGCAACAGCAACAGGCGTGTTTTTGAGGGGGAAAGATCTTACAAGCTTGAACAGCTGTCCACCCTTTAGCTCCCTGTGTTTCAGATGGAATGCTTCCCCTCTCCCAACTGCCACCACAGAGCTGCCTAATATTGCCCTGAGGAATGAGAGAGAGAAGTCGGAACAGGCAGGCCATTATTTATCTCCTAAAAAGTGGCCTGGCCTAGCCATCCCTCCTCTTTCTTTGGCCAACTTTTTATTGGCACCCTAATTTGCCATCACAGGTTTACTCACAAACCATTTTTGCCTGAGGGAAAGAGTTTTCAAAAGGCCTTCCCCCCCCCCCCCCCGTAGCTTGTCTCCTGCCTTTTTATTATAGCTTTAATATATGAAGTTCTGTGTAAACTGCTTTAGAATGTTCACCTGAAAAACAGGATATAAACAACTTGAATGAATATAATGATCCTCACCCAACTTTGTTGTGTGATGTTACCACTGGAAGCAAGCAAGCAAAACATGTTTCCTTCTAACTCTGTTTCCTTCTCTCCTTCTTCTACATGTGGCAGTATTCAACTAAGTTTTATTCAGAGAAGACCCACTGAAATTAATGAACCTATATCAGTAGACCTACTCTGAGTAAAACTTAGTTGAATGCTACCCATGCTGTTTAGAGACTGAAGAAAGGTTCAAAGCTTCCTGTGTACATTCCTGTACAGTGGTACCTCGGGTTAAGAACTTAATTCGTTCTGGAGGGCCGTTCTTAACCTGAAACTGTTCTTAACCCGAAACACCAATTTAGCTAATGGGGCCTCCCATTGCCGCTGCTGCTGCACAATTTCTGTTCTCATCCTGAAGCAAAGTTCTTAACTCGAGGTAATATTTCTGGGTTAGCGGAGTCTGTAACCTGAAGTGGCTGTAACCCGAGGTACCACTGTATAATATATATTGATTTGGGGCATCTTCCGTATATTTTCTATGTTGATAATACATATCCTATTAATAATGATATGGTAAGTGGAGAGTGAAATCTAGCTATCAGCTTGAGCATAAATATCATATTTAATGTGAATTATTTTCCTGATAATTACTAATCAGCTACATTTAATTGCATCAGAGAAGGAACTTTGAATTTGAAATGTGTGTGAACCTTTGATTGCCATTAGTCCCTGCCTGTATCCTAAGGAAGTTTCTAACACTCCACTTTAAATTCTCAGTTTAATTTATATGCAGATGACAGTATAACTTGCAAGGCACTCTGCAGATGTTGCTTGCTGGATGCTATGAACAGTGCTTTAAACACAAGCTGAGCTATCAGGCTGGCAAGTGCTTGCTAAGTGGTCCCAAAGTGCACATACAATCTACCCAGCATTCAGATGTGAATGCATTCATTTTGTGTCAGCAATCCTTTGCAGAATACAACAGAAGAAGAAGAAGAAGAGGAAGAAGAAGAGGAAGAAGAAGAAGAAGAAGAAAACTTCCAGAATTACAATCTGGTGTTGTACAGAGATTTAAATAGGTACATGAGAATTCAGGGAATTTAACTGAAGTTGCTTTGTAAAAAGGGGTAATGCAAGTTAATTATACAAAAGAATTCAGTTTTTTTGACCTGCCAAATGATCCACATGCTGTTAAAGTACATTCTCAGATTGTAAACTGCAGGTTCTTCTGAGAATTAATGGGCCAAATTTTCTTCTATAGTACAGAAATGATAGTTTGTTTCATATACAGTTATTTAGCAAACAGCTTTGACATTTAATGTTTAGGGATCCTGAAAATACACATTTCCTCTTAATTTCCATCTCTCAAATAGTTTTCCAGCTGTAGTGCTCCTATCTACCACTGAACATACTGCCCTTGGCCAACTAACTCTTCAGCTACCTTATACCCAAGATAGGAATGAATATTTAACATTGACTTCCAAGTGTGGGTGGTTGGGTGAAGATTAAGGGGTTCTCTCTATCCATTACTCCATGGTTCTAAAAACCGAGGAAGATAGTGGGATGAGGATCAAGATGCCTACTGAAGATGAAGCTTTTCATAGATGCCTTGGTGTCAGCAAGATTCTGGGTAATAAGATTGTGTTGCTAGTCAGCTGATTCCCCGTGTCTCAACTTAAGTCGAATTTTCCAAATAAAAGAAATAATGTTTTATCTGGAAAATTTGGCTTAAGTTGAGTATGAGGAGAAAATGTACTGAAAAATCTGTTGTGGTGGGTTGTATATTCAAGATTAAAGGATGTGCATGAGTGTAAATTTATACATTTTACATTGCTCTTTAATCACTGAATTCTCTGATTTCTAGCATATAACTGATTGTCTTCAAGTCTACCGAAGTCAATTAACACTTTGAACTGAGTGAGTATCCAATAAGTCGTATTTACTGAAGAGATAGGAAGGAGACCAAAATGTTTTGCTTCTGACAATGAAGAGACTGTAGCATATCTAGCATTGCTGCAAGCAGTTGCTATTTGGGGAACTCATGCTATCCTGTCTGCACTGTGATGCTGTGCTCCATTTCTAGCCACTAGAAGAGTTTTGAGAACTGCTTTTGGAGCAGCACTGCCAATGCTGAAATCAAAGTTCAGACTCTGAGGCCTGAAAAAAACTAAACCTTGGAAGAGTGTAGCTCACTTCTCACACTGGCAAAATATGTTCCAGTCTGATCAGGAAGGTTGAGAGCAGAAACTTTCTGTTCATACTTTAAGGGAAAGCTTGCACTAGGAGCCAAACTACATGCTAAATTAACCATCCTTTTTAAAAAAGGCATGATTAAGTTGGCCAGTTTTATTTTGAACAGCACCCTTCAGGGTAAAATAAGAGCCATAGTTTTGGGATGGAAAATGGGTGTGAGCCCCCCAGTCTGGCCTGGGAGTATGATCCAGATGCATAGCTGACTTCTTTTCCAAATAAAAGTGACCAATTTAAACATGGTTTTTAATAGTTGTGTCTAACATAACATGCAATTGGGCCCTTGTTAACCAGATTTAGGAGTGTTTATGATTAGGCAGAGGAGACTAATGCCATTTCAGCAAATATATCTCTGCTCCAGGACAGAGAGTAGAAGTCTTGCGCTTTAAGCTCTTTGCTGAATTACAGAATGAAATTGGTTTGCTCAGTATGGCAGTGTGGCAATATATGCAATGGTGCAAAAGCAGCATGACTTAATTTGGCACAGATGCTTGGAAATAGCGACTGCCTCTGGTTTGGGGTCACCCCCCCCCAGTTTCTCTGAACTATTGAGATCCTTAGAAAACCATATATGTTCACCAATATATTTGCTAGTGCTTGTGTGATGCAGACATTAGATCATGCTTCCTCAAACTCGGCCCTCCAGATGTTTTGAGACCACAGTTCCCATCATCCCTGACCACTGGTCCTGCTAGCGAGGGATCATGGGAGTTGTGGACCCAAAGCATCTGGAGGGCTGAGGCTGAGGAAGCCTGCAATAGATCATCCTAGGTAGCAAGAGAATGGGGAGCTCCCTTCGCTTATGCAGCCACTCATATGGAAGGCTGCATTGTCAGCAGGGAAGGTTTCCTCTGGGTCTCAGACTTAAGTTAATCAAACAAATAAACATTTCAAATGCATTGGACACCAGCCTGCTTGTGTACTCAAGGCCTAGCCTCCTGCCACATTTGCTGGAGATCCAGTGGCTACAGGAGAGGGCCTTTGCCATATGCTTTGGGGATGTAACATATTGCTATCATTCTGGAAATAGAGTTTGGGATACATATATACATATATATATATATATATATATATATATATGAATATATATGAAAACCATAAAAAGGACACACACACACACACACACACACACACACACACACAATCATGGTCTCATGACCTCTTGACCCTCATAACTAATAAGAGCTATCTAAAAATGGTGACTCCAGATAAATTTGAAAATATTTGGCAAAAGTTTCCTTTGGTGATTTCATCTAGTCCAATGCCCTGCAGTGCAGGAATCCTGCCCACAGCTATCCCTGGGCAGGTTTGAACCACCAACCTACTGGTTAACAGCCAGACACACTGACTCATTGTGCCACATACTCAAATGTTGTTCTCTGACACTTTCTCCAGTTTGCTGCTTTCCCCCCTTCTAGGTCACACTACACACACTTTCAGCTATAAACTCTGGTTTTGGTCCTTCTCACTAGCTGCAAGAAAAGGGAGGGAGAAGGGAACCCCCCATTTGCATCTCCCACAGAGCCGATTCCTTTGTTCTCCTTACTCCTTACACTTTGCCAGGAGGCTAACCTGACTTGGTTATCTTTTAACACTTGCTGGCTCCAGAGATTAGATGTATCTAGCACTCTGGTTAACACCCCAAGTCTTGATTAAATCCTAACGCTTACTGGATTCGGGAGTTGAGAGGGGTTTGGCATCCCTGAACTCATAACAATATACTATATGTTATATCCCTTTTCTAGCTGCTAAGGTAAGACCAACAATTTCATAATGATTGTGATTGTTATTTGATACATTGGACTAATACGATCCAATTTGCTGGCGGAGAGTGGTCTGTTCATATGTTTTGTATAATCTTTTATGATGGCTCAAGGCTATGACAATAAATTAAAAACATATGACAGTCCTATTATAAACACAGGGGAGGGAGGACGATTTTGTTTGGCCTGAGTGCAAGAAATTGGAGCTGAAAAGCAATTGAATGTGACTGTTACCTTTTCAGCTACCAATTCAAGTTAAACCCAAATTTCTTTTTTTTTCTCCCCTTTTCTTTTGATCCTCAGGCTTCAATCCAAACCTTTGGGTTTAAATGGGATTTCATTTTGAAATGAAAGCAGTTTAAATGGAAACAAGAAATCTCCACCTCCTGCCAAATTGGGAATTTAAAACTGTGTGCTGCTGAAGTGTCTAGCAATCTTGGTAAGTTTCTGGCTTGAAGTGATAAGGACAAACAATCAGTAAGCTTGCTCTGAAGGTAAGAGATAAACCGAAGCAGTGCCTTTCATCTCACTTCAAAAAGTAGGAGCTCAAGATAAGTTTTTATATATTTTGCAAGAGGTCAATAGGTGAAAACTGGCCTTCTTTTGCTTTGCATGCTGATTGAATTTCATTAATATATTGACAAAGCAACACACGTTCCTTTTTTCTCCATTTATTTCAACACTACGTCCATTTTTCACAGAGCTTTCAGCTGCCACAATTTCTCCATGAAGCTGCTCTAATAAAAGGGTATTTTAAATAAAACATATATTACTGAATATGGCAGTTCTGAAACGCCTTTCTCCAAAATAACCTTGTTGAAATGAATAAGACAATACTAAAGGTAAGGCTGTATTCTACCATTTGATAGCAGAGCAGTCGCTACAGAAAACACAAGCTCCATAGGCCACTAACTAGAAGGGAAGCTATTACCAGTATGTTTAGAACAATTCTGATTATTTCAGTAAAACTTAAAAATAAAAGCTTTGATGGTGTAGCTAATGCTAGCAAGCAGCTGATACTTTCTGCAATTAACTATTCACATTTCCCTTCCAAAAAGGAACAGCTGAGGTTGGCACACCTTACAGATAATTTCAGTGCATTCTCCTTGGGATCATGTCTTGCACTGAATTTTATTTGGAGATTCACAAGTGAGCCCTAAGGTGTTATCATTATTTTCCTTCACATGCAGTAGATTCTGCATTCCTATGGTTGGAATACTGCACAGCCCTTATGTTGGTTCAAAACCAGTCTATATGATGTTTTCCTACTCTCAATTTTAGTGAAAACAAACAACAGGCAGAGGGCAGAGTTTATTTGTTGTTGGTTCTCTGTGCATAATGGAAATACTTGAATGCCACTCCAGAGTTAAAATACTGTAAGTCCCACTGATTTCTACAGAAGCATTAAGCATATACCTGTATTTGAATGTCTTACATTGGAATCAATGGATTCAAAAGCAGAGAGGTCCAGCACGTAGTCCAATGGTGACATGCAGCCCTCAAGGCCTATTCTGATGGCTCTCAGCAACATTTGATGCTCCCTGTAGCCCTTGTCCTGGTAAGCAAGGTGATGGGCTTTGGGAAGGAGGTATGGGGGCTCTGATAAGGTCCTAAAGGCCTCCTGTCTCCTTCCTCAAATCTAGTTAGCACTTTCACAGCTTTGGAAAGGAGATAGGAAGGCTCTAGGACTCTGCCAGATGCTTGCAGCTCCTACTCAAAGCTTAGCCAGCTTTGGGAAGGCAGCATGAAGGGCTTGTGTGTGTGTCAAATTCTGCTCTCTGCCTCCCATGCAACAAAGCTGTGTGCAGCCCTTGGGTTCTGTGTACTCTTGCAGCCCATTTGGTATGAAAATTTGGACTGCCCTGGTTTAAAAGCACTTAACTTCATCTGGATTGTGTTCTCCCAACACCCTTTCTTTCTTTAATATACATGCATTTAGGTTATAACCCTATACATAGTTTCCCTTGGAATAAACCCCATTCTGAACAGACATGTCTAAGATGGTGCTGTTAGAAGACATGGAGAAGAATCTCACTTTAAGTGGTTTAACCTAATTTACACGTCCTGAAGTAATTCACTGCCCTAATTCACATGTAATTTTCCTTAGGATTTTGCATTTCACCGAATTTTGCAATAAAGTTCTTGGCTCAAAAACAGTACAAGAATGTGCAAAAGCTTTCACAATTTCAGGGTAAAATAAATTTAGAGATGTGTATGTTGGTATAAAATACACACTGAATATGTATTTTGGGGATAAAATATGAATTTAAAGATACATTTAAAACAACAACAACAGCCTAGAGTTTAACATGGCATTAGGAAGGATTTTTCAATTAACACATGCAATTCAGAGACAGGCCACAAAAAAGCAGCAATCCTATACCCACTTCGATGGGAGTATGCCCCACTGAATTAATGAACACTGGGATAGAGAATGGATACTTTTTCTTTGAAGATGACAAGATCTTAAATCAGAGGAATTTTCACTAGACTCTCCAACTCTGCCTCTTTTTGGATTCTTCTGAAGATTACTTGGCCAGCTTTGGTAGAATGGACTTGCATAATATTTTTTCTAATCCCTTTTACCCTTTTTCATCGGTGCCCTTTCCCTACACTCTAGAAATTCACACGGAAAATTACTGAATGCATTTTTCAAAAAGGGATTATTTTGCGCTTTCTCTGGAGGAGGACAGTTGCCTTTGGTTGTTATGGTGCAGTAATTGTGAATGAACTAATTAGCATAATAAATTAGCCTGTGAATAAATGCCTCTAATTCCAACTTGGAAATCAGAACTGCAATGGGAAACATATACCCCAGCATGTAACTAAATGACCAGTTGCTTTGATTATTCCAGTCCTAATTAAACTTTGCTCTTTATCTTAAAAGTATTACTGCTTTGGTTTGCACCTCCCAATTTTTGGTCTATGCAATGCTTCTCCCCATGCCTCATATTCTCTCTTTGTGGTGCAATACAAATATATAATCTATTAGAAGTGGGGAAGATTGGATGATGGTCATTCCAGGCTTGTGGATTGGGATTAATTAATTAATTAATTGATAATATTTATACACCACCCATCTGACTGGGTTTTGCCAGCCACTCTGGGCAGGTTGCAGCATATATAGAACATAGTAAAATATGTTTCAGTATACTTCCCACCCTAGAATTCTGTGATTCTAGATAGGGATTTTTTGAATATCTTAGCACTGAGCTTACTTGGACAGATCCACCCCCCCAATTCTGTCATTTTTTACCTGTTCCTCTAAAAACTCTTCTTGTATATTACATGTATTATACAGATATTATACCCCATGTTTCTCAAAGTAATCAGCACATAAACAGATACCTGCACCAATGCATATAATTGCATAATATACTCATCTTGATTCTTTTATACATTTTAAATGTATAATAAATGTACACATCTGTTTTGTATATAATCTTGTGTATAATTAGTTCAACATTTTAAAAAAGAGGACTCAGCAATGCATGAGTGGCTTGGTCAAACTTGAGACAAGACGTGGTCAGATGCAGGCCAGGGTCAATTGGGTTAGAACTGCCAAATTCAGGGTATAAATCTGTTTAAAATTTCCGAGCACAATTCAAAGTGTTGGTGCTGACCTTTAAAGCCCTAAACGGCCTTGGTCCTATATACTTGAAGGAGCGTCTCCACCCCCATCGTTCAGCCCGGACATTGAGATCCAGCGCCAAGGGCCTTCTGGCAGTTCCCTCATTGCGAGATGTGAGGTTACAGGGAACCAGACAGAGGGCCTTCTTGGTACTGGCACCCACCCTGTGGAATGCCCTCCCATCAGATGTCAAAGAAATAAGCAGCTATCCTATTTTTAAAAGAAATCTGAAGGCAGCCCTGCTTAGGGAAGTTTTTTATATTTAATGCTGTATTGTTTTTAACACTCGATTGGGAGCCACTCAGAGTGGCTGGGGAAACTCAGCTAGATGGGCGGGGTATAAATAATAAATTATTATAATTATTATATTATTATATTATTATTCCTCCTCCATTACTAAACTTAGGATATAATTTTTTTGCACATTAGCATGGGGGAAAGTCCTTTGTGGTTTGTGCCTTATCATGCAATATTTATTCAAATTTCCAGTATAGTATAATAATATTTCCCCAGTAGTTACACACTGATCCTACTGAAAGATAAGCAGTAATTTGTGATTGATCACACTGTATATCAATCTAACTTATTAAAATATCAAAAACAAAATCTAGTGAAAAATCAGGTTTTTAAAAAAACAATTTCATAAACTATTTGCAATTAATCATCAGCCAGGAAAGTCACATAGCAATGTTATGTTCATACTAAGGATAATTTTTCAGAAATTTCTGAGCTTTGAGAAAACTAAGCTCTCTTTTTAAGCATTCCTAATTTTTATGAACTATTCATGTTTGTGCAGTGAGGGGCAACATGACTGCCTATAATTGCTATTCCAGCTGCAATTAACCATATGTAGATGCTTTCCCATGGAAATGTTTTGTGCTAAGACTTAATTAGGCTCCCTGATTAAATGGCAATTAAGGATACCATCCCTTGCATTCCAACTTAAAGGAACTGTCCAAAATAAAACAA